CCGTACCGTCCCTCCCTCCCTCCTCCCCCCCCCCTCCCCCCCCTCCCCCTCCCCCCGCTTACTCTAGCCCACGTCCACCACATGCCACACCGTCTAAACATGCACCACTACTACATCTACACCTCCTCTCTCTTGTCAGCATGTAAACTGGTCTTTTCCGGTCTTATTTCTTCCGCTATGCCCTCTGCCCGCTTTGGGCGGTGTGACCCACGCCGAGGCTGGCTACCCACGCGCCGAGTTTTTTTTCGGCTTGGAACTCTAAATATTGTGCTGAATTGAAAAATAGATGAGAGTGGTGCGGTAGAGGAGACTCATATGGGTATGACAACAGGCATGCTATGGATGTGGGCTAGGTCGCTTGTGCTGGTGGCTCTTGTTACTCTTCATGCAGCCGTCTCGGTGGATGGCTTGTCCGCCTGTGCTCCGTTTGTGGGCAACGGAGGCTCGCTCATCGCCGAGTATGACGGTATCACCGCCATGGCAAAGGGCGACTTTAACAACGACGGACGGCCCGACTTTGTCGTCCTCGGTGGCACTTTTTTCTCTGCCCATCTCCTCATGCAGCAGCCTGATGGCTCGTATGCGCAGAGCTCAATCGTGCTCAACATTGTGGCCAAGGATGTTGCTGTCGGCGACTTTGACGGTGACGGCGCTGACGACGTGGCGCTCGCGATCAACTCGGGCTCCGGGCCCGATGAAGTGGTGTTCTACGCCAACGCTGCTCGGGACGGCAGCTCGTGGACAAAGGTCACCGTGAGCTCGGGCACCCGCAGTGCGATCTCCATCGCCGCCGCAGACATGGACGCCGACGGCGACATCGACCTGGTCGTCGGCCTCGACCTCGGCAACATCCTTCTGTTCAACAACACCAACGCCGACGGCACAAACTGGGCATCGTCTGAGGTCACTGATCTTGGCGACAGCATCAATGCCCTCGCCCTTGCAGACATCAACTCTGATGGCGCCACAGACATCATCGCCGCCGTCGGCTCGGTCGCCCCCTCCGAGGTCGTGTGGATTCGCAACGTCGCTGGCGACGCCAGCTCGTGGTCCTTCCTCGACATTGGCTCGGCCGGCTTGGACGCCTCCTCGGTTGCCATCGCGGACGTTGACAACGACGGAGATCTCGACGTTGTCGTCGCCCTCTACAGCGACAACATCGTCGCCTGGTACCCCAACATCGACACCGGCGCCAGCTTTGGCGCTCGCCTCGACGTTGCCAACATTCAAGACGTTGAGTTTGTCGTCGCCGAAGACATCGATGGCGACGGCCTTGTCGACTTTGTCTCCTCTGGTCGCTACGTTGCCTACTTTCACAAGAACGCCGGTGCCGGCACCGCCTGGGCGCACCGCCTCGTCTCGGCTGCCACCAATGGTGGCGGCCCGATTGTCATTGCTGACGTCAACAACGACACTCGCGTCGACATAGTTCTTGGCCTTGATAGCGACGATCGGGTGGTCTGGGTGCAGAACTACGGTGGGAGCCCGCCGGCCGTCGCCTACGGTCCACAGGAGGTCGTCATCGAGCCGACACCCGTTCGTGCCGTCGTTGCTGACATTGATGGCGATGGCGACAACGACATCGCCTACGCCGGCTTTGACAACAACGCTTGGTTCCCAACGACGGTGACGGATCCTTCCCCAGCGGCTTTGCCTTTGCCGACACGCTCGTGCTTCCGCGTGCCCTCGCTGCAGCAGACATCGACAGCGACAATGACGTCGATCTGGTCCTCGCCAGCGAGACCGACATTGCGTGGCATCAGAACAACGCCGCTGCGGGATGGGTCGCAAACACGGTCAACACGTCGACAGCCTCGGTCACTTCGGTGCAGGCTGTCGACATCGATGCCAACGGTACGCCCGACATTGTCGCCACAGCCAATGGCAACAGCCTTGTGTGGTATCCCAACGCAGGCAGTGGCGTCTTTGCCGGCGAGCAGGTCATCTCAGCCGCGCTTGCCAACCCGGACTCGGTTGCTGCTGCAGACTTCAACGGCGACAGCAAGATCGACCTTGCTGTTGCATACGGTGACTCGGTCGCGTGGCTCGCTGCGCTCGACGGCATGGGTGCGTTCAGCCCTCCGCAGCTCATCACCTCGTCCGACCTCACCACCGCTGTCTCCATCACCACCGCAGACGTCGACGACGACGGCGATATCGACCTCGTCGTCGCCGGCAGGGCCAACAACCGCGTCGTTTGGCTCGCCAACACCAACAACGCCAGCTCGTGGATGGTCAACGAGGTCACCGCCTCTGCGCCGGGAGTCTACTCGGTTGAGCCAGTCGACATGGATGGAGACGGCGATCTTGACCTCCTGCTCGCCACAGCCGCCAACGACGAGATGACGTGGTACGAGGCCGCCAGCCCGGGCGTTTTTGCCGGCTCAAAGCACGTTGTCTCGTCTGCCACCTTCCGCCTCCGCCAGGCCATCGCTGCCGACCTTGATTCTGATGGCGACCTCGACGTTGTCGGAGTCTCGCTCGACTCGGGCATCACCGCCCATCAGCGCTGCTCCGCATCCGATGGCGCCACGCCGCCGCCGCCACCGCCGCCAAGCCCAGCTCCGGTTGCTGGTCCGCCGCCGCCGAGCCCGACTTCCGCCTCACCGCCGCCGCCAGCCTCGGCCACTGCTGGGCAGACCAACATCTCGCCTAGCTCGGACGATGGCATGTTCAAGTCCCAGACATTCATCGGTGCCGCTGCCGCTGTCGGCCTCGTCGCCACGGTCGCCGTTGCTGCCACCATCGTTGTCAAGAAGCGGCGTGGCGGGTCCTGCGGTGGGACGCAACGTGAGTCGTCCAAGCCTGCCACCGATGCCGGCACCGGTACGGCCATGGAGCTTGTCTGATCCCTCGTCGCCATTGTCCATCGCCACCCACCTTGCACATATCTTGCATCCGCCTGTCACCTCCGCTCGAGCCCCTGATTGTATACATCGAGCAACTTTGCCTAAAGACACGCGTGTGTGCATCGACATTCAATTAGTGTGCGAGTGTGGCGGCCAAGAGCCTCAGCTAGTGCGGAAGCCAACAAGCAAGAGGTAGAACGAGCCGATGAATGAGACGGCCTGTGACATGAGGGTGAACGTGATGTTGGTGGCGCCTGCAATCTTGATGCCCATATTGTGAGCGTTGAGCGTGGTGACGAGGAAGACATAGTCGGAGCGCTCGACGAGCGTCGAGTCGGCGTCGAGGTGCAGGGCGATGGCGGCCTCGAGCTTGTGGATGAGCGAGTGGGCGCGCGCAGAAGGGAGGGCGACAACAGCAGCAACAACCATGTTCATCAGAGCCCAGATGACAAGGATGAAGATGGTGAGGCCGTCGAGCGAGGCGTAGTCGAGGAGCGAGACGAGGCAAAAGACAATTAGCGGGAGCTCGATAGCAAAGACGGCGCCAAGCCACGGGCCAAACGCCGCGTTGACGGTGTCAAACGACTGCGCGAGGTCCTTGAGATCCATCGTCAGCTCGGGCAGCGTCCGCCCAACAACAATGGCCGAGTAGTGGAGCCGTTCGATCCGCCGGGTCAGCGTCTGCATGACGTCGACGAAGAGTGCGATAGGGAGGATGAAGACCGCCGTCGCCACCAGATGGTCGATGGTAAGCAGGATCTGGATGGCGTCCGAATCAAAGACAAACATCTCACGAAAGACCTGCTGCGCGCTTGGGGAGAGGTTGGACCACCGTGCCACAATAGTGATAATGGCGTTGGAGCCGACAGTAACCGCGAGGAGGCCGAGAAAGATAGTGAGAAGCCAGGAAGACTTGGCCAGGTCGGTCTCGGTCTTCCACGCCGCTTTCCACGTCGAGAAGAGCCAGCCAGCGTGAACATTGCCGAAGCGAAAGATAAAGGTAGCCAGTGAGACCATGTTGTACAGCGTCCAGCATGCGGCGATGATGACCACCGAACCGTGCTTGAGATCCGTAAAGTTGGTAAAGAGCGAGTACGCCTGCGCGCCGAAAAGTACCATGCCCACAACAAAGATGACCATGCCAACCGCCCGTTCCCACGCTCCGATTCGAGTCAAGCCCAGCAGCCGGGTGAGCCAGTGCATGATCACCACAGGCGTGTACCTCCCGCGGAGACTCTGTACCGAGTCGTAGTGCGGGATATGTCCTTCCTCGGCCGCGGCATTGAGCAGCGAGGATGTCGTCATCTCCATAAAGTGGTGGCTTCCGCCGCTCTGCACATCCACCGCCGCCAGCATGGTCCGGATCGCCTCCGAGTCTGCCCGCGCCCGCGCCCGCCGCAGCTCGTCGGTCCGGCTCGGACTTGATCCGCTTTGCGGGCTTGCCATGCCGGCACCTGACTTTTCTGGCGACCACGCTGCGCCTTGTTCTCCTCCGCCGGTACTGCCGCTTGTCATCTCGGCCAACTCCACGTCTTCGGCACCAACCACCCGCCCAGCGCCTGCATCGCCATCCGAATCGCCCGATGCCGTCACATCGATGTCAAGCGCGTACATGGCCGAGACAGGCCGCGGCTTGGATCGACTCTTCTTGGTCCTGAGCGTAGCCTGCCTGGTCCGCCCCAGTCGAGGTCTGTGACTCGGCCTCCTGCCCGCCGAGCCATTGCCATCGTCGCCGACTTGGCCGTCGCCGCCACCCGGACAACCGTCCCTCGTTGCTCTCACGCCATGGCCTCTGCTGCTCGCATCACCTACGCTATCATATTCACAGTCAGTCCCGTCAAGCACCACAACCTCACTATGCTTGTTGTCAGACTTTTTCCCGCTCTCGTGGCTGCTTCCGCTCGCCTCGCTGCTCGCCATGACCGCCGGCGTGGGTTCTGAGAGAAATGCCGTCATTGAGCAGACTCTGCGGTGGTTTCGGCGAGGAACAACGACAATTTTTAGCTACCGAAAACGGGCGTGAGTAAACAGGTTGACTTGGGGGTGATTGGGAGGTTTACGCTGGATCACGGGGTACTCGAAGGCTGCTGGGATGTGAAGGGGGGTTGATGGGAGTAGTCGTCTGGGTGGGGGAGGGGGGGAGGGGGGATGGTGCCGGAAGAGAACGAAAAGGCGTGTTTGACGTCGGCAGAATGAATATTTTTAGCCATCTCGGGTCGGCAGGGAACAACTGATGTCGGCGCCAAGGTAGCTTACATGGGCTCGTGTGTGTGCTTGGTCAAGTACGGTGTAGTGCAAATGCAGAGCGTGGGTTACAACTGGTGTAAGCAGGTCGTGAGCCGTACCAGCTGCGAAGTTCTGTGACTGTAACGGCTGCTGGCTTGGCCATCCCCATTTTTTCCAACCGCACAAGCTCACTCCATCCATCCGGCAAGCTAGCGTACGGCAAGAAGTTCAAGCACCCAGCGATGCTCTTGCCAGATTATCCAACCACCGCATTTGCGTGTCCATGCGGAGCTGCAGTGATTGGAAGGCCGCAGCTGTGCGACTCGCGAGTGTGGCAGGAGACGAACGTTCGAAAGAATGCGACTTGGGTGGGCAGGCGCAAGGGTGTAAACGTTTTTTGCCGCCTTGACAAAACGAGGACGCATTCAAGGCAGGGCTGGGCCGCAACGAGCAGGTAAGCTCTTTCTCTGAGTCTGTGACTATGGCTCAGATCCACCCCCTGGAGACTGCAACGGTTCCAATCGCCGGCTGGCGCGCAAGCAGCGCGTTCGGTCTTGGACGGTCGGAGCCTGCGACGACCCGAATCGCGCAGGAGGCCGCCCCGGCCGGCCACGGAGCGCACGACCGTAACTACGACCCGGAGACGTACGATGGGGTGATGCCCATGGATTGGGAGCCTGATCCTGTGGTATTCGACCTCCCACCGCTGCGATTCCGAGATTAAGTAGTTCCGCGGCCATCGGCTCCCGCTCGCCAAGGCAGCCGCCGTTCAGCACCCCCGATCCGGCTTTCCCGCCCACCACAACAAGCATCCGCAGAGAGGACGGGAAAGACGAGTGGAGGTTTGACAGGGTGTGGCAAGGGCAGCAGAGCTGGGCGTGGCGCACTGTCAACGCGCAACGTCCGGCGCCCGCACTCGCACTAAATCGATAGCAACAGAAGACAGGCAGTTTGGTCCCGGAAACGTCACAGTCGCCTCCCTGTTGGAGGCCTTTCGGCAACCCGGGCGATGGGCTTGTGAGGCCCAGATGGTAGAACATCAATGTGGCCATGCCTTCAGGCAAGCTCTCTATTGATCATGATGCCGTGTGCGTCAGCTCGGCCGGCACCACCGTTCGGGTTGAGGTCCACGGCGTCGTGGTGCTCTTTGCCGACTCTGGCGGCACGGACTTTGTGCTGAGGGTCAGCAGCTCGCAACCGCTCGCTGGCTATGGTTTCAAACTCGAGCGATGTGGCCGCTACGTCGGCTGGTACGGCCGTTGCGGATGCAGGTGGGTGGGGATGGGGTCTCGCGCGGTCACCGGCGAGGTATCGTCCACGATCCGCGGTCCGACGCACATCTTTGCTCGCGCCGCTGCCCGGTTCAATGCCATGGCCACGACCTTGACTGCCTGCGCCCGCAATGGCCGTCACCGCTGAAGATATCATCCAGTTCACGCTACTACGCACGTTCTGCATGACAACTCGGTGTGATCAGCATCGGCCGAAGGTACAACGGGCTTATAGGCGCAATTCATGGTACAGAACACGCCAGATGGTATACGTAACCCTTTGTACGTGGATATATGGCTCGTACAAAGTGTCTGATTGATATCGCAAAGCCACCACACATGGATGCCCACAAGACATGCCCTCTGACAAAGTGGCGCGACGACTGATCGGGCATTTTGGCGATTCCAAATATGGCCAACGTGAAGATTGTGCTCCCTGGGGTGTCGGCACACACACAGTGCTTTAATTCCAGTAGATCGGCCAAGCCACCGAAAGTCGACTGAGTCGAGTCGACGAACCATGTCGAGGACTCGGAACATGCATTAGCTGCCCAAGCTGGCCAATGGCTGTCGGTGGTTGCTGATGGCGGCGTAGCTGGCGGTAATCCTTGCCAGCAATCCCAGCTGACGAGGTTCAATCGACGATAGCCCCCCAGATCCCGTAGACTCGGCAAAACGTAGTGGATCAACCATATACAGCTCCCAGCAGGTACATCGGCTTGTCCACGACCGCCGATAGCTGACGCCACGATGGGCTGCCCAGCCAGCGGCGTACCAGCAATCCCACTCGATGAAGGGCCAACTCCCAGATGCGACCACATGATCCAACCAAACATACCGCCTTACCTTCTGTAAGGTACCACAACTAGTCCACACTGGCCCCGACGGACCGATAGCTGGACATGGCTGCGGCGGCCGTGCCCGCGGCACACCGGGTGTGATGGAATGCCAACACTCTCGGTTGCCGGCCGAGCAGTCGCTCCGCTGGCTCGACGGCTTGAGATTTCCTCGCATTTCCTGTGCTGACCATCTTTGCCAGCACATCGTGCCAATTGGCACGGTGATCCGCGTGTACTTGAGCGCCCATCGATAGCTCGATAGCTCGCGTACACACGATATCAAGGCAAGAATTGGGCGCCCAGATGGCGCCCGTCGTCGTCGTCGTAGCGCATCGTCATCAAAAGGGTGGGCGGGTGGGTTCCCGCTCCGTCGGAGCCGACTGTGTCGACGCCATCGGAGCTCTTAGCGAAGTAAGGTGTCAGCTGCTTTGCTTCGCTTCGCTCAGCCGGCCGCGAGCGTTAGCGACTCGTAGCAGTGGCGGCAACCAGTGGCGGCAACCATCGATTAATGGTCAACTGGCACCACCTGACTCAATTAACCAAACTATGTCTGGCTCTTCTTGGGTTGTGGAGAAGCTGGTGACGCTCCCTGGCGAGCTCCGCGACCTGCCGTTCCATCCTGCGGATGAGCGTGTTGCGGATTGGTATGGTATGGAGTACTCGTTTGGCACTATTGTGGCTGCGGCGTACCTGGTCATCACCCTTGTCCTTCGCCTGGCCATGCCCCTCAAGTCGGCTCCCTTTGAGCTCTACTACTACCGCCTCGTCCACAACTTTGCCATGTTTGCCGTCTCCCTCTACATGTTCCTCGAGATCATGCGTCTCGGCATCACCCAGGGCTTCTTTGTCGAGCTCGAGCGCAATGCTCAGTCTCTCCCGGTACGCCTCACTCGCTTCCCCTCTTCCCATCTCTACTATTTCCTTCTCTATCCCCTCGCCCCGTCCCCCCCTTTCGTGCTCGGCCACCGCCACGCGTGTGGATGGCCGGCCGCCGGCCGACGGCTTTAGCTGCCGACCACTCGCCCGAAGGTAGGGGGGGGGGGGGGGCGGGGGTGGTAGTTCTTCCCGTACCTCATACAAGCAAGCGGACTCGCTTTTTCTCGGGAAAAGTTATCACTTGGGTAGAGAGACAGAGGATACAACTCCTTGAGGAGTTTGATGAGCTTGGCTGTTCGCTGTCGTCCGTGGGAGTGACTTGTTTTCCCCCCCCCCCCCCCCCCCCCCCCCCCGCTGTGTGAGTGGCCACATTGGACGAAATGGCGCTTTTTTACTATTTTGATGGCGGAGCCGCGGGGCGTTGGGGCCATCATTGCGGTCGGCCGGATTTGGCACGCCTTTGACAAGAACTCACGGGTGTTTAGCGCGTGAACTGGATTCGTGCGGTGTGTGTGTGTGTGTGTGCGCGCGTCGTGCTGTGATTGTAGATGGCGTCTGTGCTCTGGGTCTTCTACATCTCGAAGATCTTCGAGTTCAACGACACGTTCATCATGCTGCTCCGGCAGAAGTATTCGCAGGTCACCTTCCTGCATGTCTACCATCATGCGTCTGTTTTCTGGATCTGGCTCCTCAACGTGCGGATCTACCCGGGCACGTTTGCTGGCGCCGCTGCGGCCGCCAACTCGTTCATCCACGTCCTGATGTATGGCTACTACTTTGGCTCAACCTTTGGCTACCGCCCGTGGTGGAAGAAGTACCTGACGCAGATGCAGATGTTCCAGTTCTGCTTCATGATCTGTGAGGGCACGTACCTCACGTTCTTTGGCCACCCCAAGTTCCGCTCGCTCGGCGCGCTCAACGGCCTCTACGCCGTCACCCTCTACTTCCTCTTCTGGAACTTCTACCGCCATGCGTACAAGAAGCCCAAGACCAAGGACCAGTAGATCCTTACATCCAGGCGGCAGCACACTTCTTTCTCCAATCGTAAACGTTGATCGTCTCGTCCACTAGCCAACCCGTCAACGATTCCCCCAACAACAAACAATCGTCACCAAAGCCACCAGCGATTCCCCCAACAACAAACAATCGTCACCAAAGCCACCAACGATTCCCCCAACAACAAACAATTGAAGTCAGTCAGCGCTCAGGTCACATGGCCCTTTCCCCCCCCCTCCCCCCATACTACCCCAAGAACAAGCCACAAGTCACACTTGACGTAGCGCCTGCCATCCGCCATGTCCAAGGACATCTTCCCCGTCTTCCCCACACGAATGTACGTTCCCCTCCCCTCCCCCATCCCCTTCCCCACAGCCACCACGCCCCCCCTCCCCCCTCCCCCTCCCCCCTCCCCCTCCCCCTCCCCCTCCCCTCCCCCTCCTCCCCCTCCCCCCCGCCTACCCGCAGGGTGTGGGTGGTGTGGTGGGGAAGGGTGCCGCCACACATACCCTCTCCCGTCCATCCCCCCACCTACTTCCTCGTGTGTTGTATGGTACAAAGAGTATGTGGTACTACTTGTGGAGGTCTCCGTACTCTGTGTAGTGGTCACGTGCGTATGGTGGAGAGGGTGGGTGGGGCTGTCTTGCTGGCGTGTGACTGACGAATGACGGGACAATGACGGTGTGGTGGAATGGGCGGGTATGGCTATGGCTTTGGTCGATGATCGCCGTCGTGGTCGTCGTGGTCGTCGTGGTCGTGGTGGTGGTCGTCGTGGTGGTGGTCGTCGTGGTCATCGTGGTCGTGGTGGTCGTCGTCGTGGCGTTGGTCACCATTGTGCTGCTGGTACTGCTGCTGCTGCTGATGCCGATACTTCTGTTGTTGCTGCCCCATCGTGCTCGACTACGGCTGCGTGCTGACAGGGCCCTCACGTCGATGAAGATCCGCCTCAAGTCGGCAGAGAAGGGCCACTCGCTGCTGAAGAAGAAGGCTGACGCGCTGACGCTCCGCTTCCGGTCGGTGGCCACCGAGATCAAGGCATACAAGCAGGCGCTCGGCGAGATGATGTCCGACTCGGCCATGTCCATCACAAAAGCCCGTTACGTGGCGGGCGACTTTGCCTATCTCGTCACCGAAAACGTCGGCTCGGCAAGCATGAAGATCCGCACAGAGCTGGAGAACGTGGCCGGCGTCAAGATCCCTGTCTTTGACGCCTACGAGGACTCGGGCTCGTCCGACGCCCTCGAGCTGACCGGCCTCGGCAAGGGCGGCGCCCAGATTCGCCAGTGCAAGAGCAAGTTTGCCGACGCGCTGCAGTCGCTCGTCAAGCTCGCCTCACTTCAGACCTCCTTCATCACCCTCGACGAGGCCATCAAGCTCACGAACCGCCGCGTCAACGCCATCGAGCACGTCGTCATTCCCAAGATCGAGAACACCATCTCGTACATCATCACAGAGCTCGACGAGGGCGAACGCGAGGAGTTCTTCCGCCTCAAGAAGATCCAGGAGAAGAAGGCCGACGCCCTCGAGTCCAAGAACGCTGCCATGGCCGAGCGCCGCGAGCTGCTTGGCCTTGACGACGACGGCGCCGGCCCGTCGCTCCTCGACGACGACGACGAGGACCTCATTGTGTAGCTTTCTCGGTAAATGCTGCCTCTAGCTCATTACCCTACTACGACGGCACCACGCCACAGTTACAAACATGTTTGTTACTCACGCTACTCGCCCAGCTGCTCGAGCAGGCCATCGCAGATCTGGGTGAGCTCCGCGTTCTCGGCGTCCTTGGCCGCCACCTGCCCGCTCAGAGTCTTGATCTTTGTCTCGGCCACCCGAAGCTGTTTTCGAGGACCTTGACCCGCGCAGCAGCGTCGGCTTCGGCCGCAGCCAGTGCGTCCTCGGCCTTGATCAGCGCCTTTTGGGCACGCATTGTCTCGTTCGAGTGCTTGGCCTCGAGCTCGATCACTGTGTTCGCCTGCGCTTCGAGCTGGGCCTCAGCCGCCAACGCCTTGGCCTTCCACTCCTTGAAGCCCATCTCGAGCGCCATCGAGTCCTCGGCGTACTTGGCATTGACCGCCGTCAGCTCGGCCACCTTGGCCGTCAACGAGTCGTTGCGCGCCTCGATCTCGTCGACGGTGGCCGTAAACTCGTCGAGCACAGCCGTCAGCTGCGCCGCCTCCTCCTCGGCCTTGCTCTTGCCAGCCTCGGCCGCAGCAAGATCAGCCTCGAGCTGAGCCACCCGTGCCAGCGCCTTGACCACGGCCGACGGCGTTCCGCTGCTCCCGCCGCTCACGCTCCGCCGCGGGCTCAGCATCTCGGCCGACTTGGCCATGACCTCCACAAAGCGCGCCTGCAGCGGCGTCGCCGGCTTCTCGTCCGCCGCCGCTCCGCCCGCCGCCTTGCTCTTGCTCGGCGTCACCACCTCGGCTCCTCTCGGAACATTCTCCTCGCCACCAGCCACCGCAGCTTCCACCAGCGACGCCACGACCTCGTTGGCGGCCTCGACCACAATGGCATGATCAATGGGTGTGATGACCTCGGTCCGATCCCGCCATGCAACCGTCGCCGGCGAGTCCACGGCTTGGCAGAGGAGGGAAGAACCTTCCCCACGCATTGTTGCCGCCATGCTCCCGCCGTTGTCGCCTTGAGCGCCAAATGCCTCGCACCCGCCGGTGTTGCGCTCGCCGAGGACTCGCGTCGGTGTAAAAGGTGTCGTGCTCGCCGCCATCCTTGTGCTATCTGTATCTGCCTTGGTCTCCTGCTGGAACCACTTGTGAACTTCGCTTGGCGTCTGCCTTGGCGTCTACTCTTGCAGGTTGCTGCAGAGTCAAGTCGATGTCGTCCTGCTCACCCTCCTGGTCCCTCCCCGCCCCTTCGCTCTGCCCTCTCTCTCCTTCGCTCGGTCCGCCACAAACCGCTCGGCGCGCAAATATCCAAAATTTTTGAATTCCGCCTCAAACCGCCAAACGCTCTTTTGGGCCCAGCTGGCCTTGCCCCCCGCTTGCTGGCCACCTGGCGCGCTGTGCTATGATCACCTTGTTCTCCTCAACCCCTTTGCCGATATCCGCACAACTTCTAGACATTGTGGACAAGAGCATAGCGTACCTTGGTAAGTTGTGCTTACCCTCATGCGTATCCTCTATCGTGCGCTTGTAGCCTTGGCGTGCAGCCCACTCGGCAGCCGACATAGGCCGCCTGGCGCCCGCGCCTGCTTTCTTTAGCTGACGAAAGTTTGAGTGGTAGCGGCATGGCAGGCACGGCAACGATTAACCAAACGAGAGACAGCATTGATTCGGGTGCCGAGCAGGCGGCGAACGAGGCAACGAAGAATCGTTGGCAGCAGCGAGTGACACCCGACTCGCGCCTCACCCCAGTTCGCACACGCCCAGCCCAAGCCCAGCCAACATCCCCACCCAGCCCGGAGGATCTACAGAGGAAGGAGTCAATCCCAGCTAGTAGCAACATAGTACCCATCATGCCGCACATGACGACCGAACAGATCATGGAATCCTCGCCCTTTACCAGCCGTTTCTCGGCCTTTAAGCGCCCGGCAAACCGCCGCCAACCGAGCGCGCGCAATGGCAAACTTTGCTCAAATTTCAATGCGCCCGCCGTCCTCACCGAGCGCTCCACCAACGTCGTTGCCGCTCCTCGGCCCGATCCCACCACCTTTAAGGCCATGACCTGCGAGGCCATGCCGGCACCTACCCCTCGCCAGCCTTTTGCCCCGCTCTCTGCCCCGTCGACCGCCATCTCGCCGGCCGCGGCTCGGCCTGCCGTTGACTGCCCGCCACCGGCCTCGGGCTCGGGCTCGGGCTCGGGCTCAGGCTCGGCCTCGGCCCCGGCCTCGATCCCGGCCGCATGCCGGCCAACCATCACCATCTTCTCTCCGGCCATGCCCGAGCTGTCGTGGAAGCCGGAAGAGTCGGAGGTCAACGGCGGATCGAGCTCGCGGACGCCGTCGCCGAGCGGTGGCGCCCCGCTGCCGTTCTGCCACCCGTCGGCGGCTCGCCAGCGGCCGGCGTCGACCTCGCCGATCCCCTGCTCCGACTCGTCCGCGCCGGTCTCGATGCCGAGGTCGGACGTTGATGCCTCGGAGACGCTGGCTCTGCTGGCCTCGGCAGCGGTTGCCGCCGATCGCCCCGCCTCGCTCTCGCCCGTTGCCGCCCTGCTCGCCCCGCCCTGCTCGCCGGCCCTTGCTGTCGGCACAGCCGGGCGCTGCGGTGGTGCTGACGACGCTGACGCCGGGGCCGATGGTGCTGGTGCCGCTCCTGCTTTCGACGACGGCGATAACATCGATGTTGTGTGCGTGCCGACCGGCATGCCTGGCCTCGCCTCCCCGCCGCGCCCGCGCATGCTCAAGCGCTCGCGATCCAAAGCCGAGATCACCACACCGTCGCCACGCAAGGCGCAATCCAAGATCTCCAAGCTGATGAACCGGCCCAAGTCGACGCCGCTCCCGCGAGCGGCGCTCAGCTCGGCCTTTGATGACATTGTTCCGCCGGGCATGCGCTCGTTTGCCTCGCGCGTCAACCTGACACTCTGCAAGCCTGGTCAGGTTGCCGACCGCCCCACCCGCACCATCCTTTCCTGGGAGTTCTGATCTGCTCTACCTCTCTGCCTCCACCACCTTCATCCACCCACCCACCTACCCAACCAACCTATCCATCCATCCATCCATCCATTCCCCTCCCCTTGGCTATCAGTCTAACTCCATCGCCGTGCCTGTGCCCGGCGGCCGGACTGTGCGGCTGGGCCCGTTGCCTGGAGGGAGGGGACAGGCAAGTGCCTGAAGATGATAAACTGCTGTGCCCTGATTGGCTGTCATCCTCTGTTTTCTTTACTCTCTCTCTCTCTCTCCCTCTTCCTCTCTCCCTTGCCAGGCACGCATCCCGACGCCCGACGCGAGCGCGATCCGATCAGGCTCGTTGACGACCGCCGAGCGGCTCGGCCAGCTCATGAAGGCCATCACTGCGATGACTGTAGCATGTCAACGGCTTGGACATGCCCTGCAGCAAGCTCTGCCCTGAAACCGTTCCACACGGTTGTCCATCTTGCCAGCGCCGCCGTCTGCTCCTCGAGCGATCTCATGTTGGCGTTGACTTCCTTGGCGATGGCCACCGACTCGACCAGGCCCTACACCCCGTCATCCATCCACCCACCGACTACATGAGTTCATGCGCACCACCAGGCCCTCTCCCTCCGCCACTATCCTCCTCACCAGCGGCAAGTACGCGCTCCACATGGCCATGGCCACCTTGACTCGAAATTGGCAGTGCCCGCAGCGAAAAAGGCACCAGTCGATACCCAAGCCACCAAGCCACCAAGCCACGGCCCAGTCAGCCACCACATACAGCCAGACACTCGAGACTGCATTCATGGTCTCCCCAGCTGCTGCCTCGTGTCCTCCCTCCCTCCTCCTACTCCTCCTCCTCTCCGCTGTCGCTGTCGCTGTCGCTGTCGCTGTCGCTGCTGCCGCCACTGGTGCTGGACGTACGTTGGTAATGCGCTGCACAAGATGGACGCGCTCGAGCTCAAAGGCAGAGTCCTCTGTAGAGGTGGACATGGTATGGGTGTGGTGTGTGTGTGGGGGGGTGGGGGGTGGGGAAGGGATGGGCTGGGGTGGGGGGTGGGGGGGTGAGGTGGTGGCGGGAGACTGCCTCACCAAGTCGCACTCCTCCGCCATTCAATTCTACAGGCGAACGATTAATCCAACAACAACCTCAATCATCCCCCCCCCCCTCCACCAACCAACGATTAATCCAACAACAACCTCAATCATCCCCCCCCCTCCACCAACCAACGATTAATCCAACAACAACCTCAATCATCCCCCCCCTCCAC